TATGTTACTTTTAGCGTGAGTTCAATATATTATATTTAAATATTTTAATAATTATAACACTAACTATATATAATCTAGAGAGGGGGCATGAGTTCAGTTGAACCCATTAAACCCCCTATAGATACGACTGTCTCTAGCTCTAAATTGATTTCTTCTCCATCAAAATATTCTCCTTGGAGCGTTTTTATCGAAATTATTTTTGGCGGACTTCTTTTATATTTTAGGAGTAATATAATTGTGTAGTAAAATTTTAATAAAGATAAAAAAGTTTTTTCAAATAAAAAGTAGAAACTTTTTACTTAACAGACTAAACCTTCTAAGAGAACACATAAAGCAGTAATAAGAGTAACAAAAAGAATTTGAACATTAACCACGTGTACAATCATTTACTTCTAAAAGGATAAAAAGAATAGAATAAAATGTGGTAACATTTTAATTTTTAAACAACACGTTTTAAAATATATTTAGATTTCTTAATATTTCAATAAATTAAATTTAAAATGACTAAATTATTTTAAATTTTTCTTTTTTAGAAATGAAAAATTGAAAATTTTCCTAGTGCTTTCTTACGGTTTAAAATATACTAAGACTTCTTAATATTTTATAAAATTAAATTGAAAATGGCTAAATTAATTTGAAATTTTCTTTCTTAAAAATGAAATATTGAGAAATACCCTAGTGCTTTGTCGTTGTTTTTTAATTATACATATTTAATTATTTCTTTAAAACTAAACATTGAAGACTATACGTATCTTTTAAATGTAAAATTTCTTTTTAGAGTAGACATGATTGTCCGTGCGCACACCTATCAATATTCTTTTGGTGATACTATCACAAGTATTGATAGAATTAGAATTAGTATAAGGTTGACGATATAAACATGTTTATACAATAAATTTTAGGCAATAACTATCACAAATATTGATAGGACGACAATTAGCAAAAGGTTGATAATTATCTTACACGCACACTTTTAGTACTCAAACTCTAGTTAGGCCTTAGCTTCGAATCTATCTACCAAATTAATTATTTCAACATTGTAATTTCTCCAAATGCAAGAAAAGGAGACTTGATATCTTCAAATAATTTTGATTTCAATGCTACCAAAAGCCACATAAGGACAAAGAGATAGTAGATGATTATTGTTGGGTTTTATTTGTCCTGATTTCTTACCATAAATAGGTTTTTCTTTTAGGAAAATGTTTTGAATTGACTATTCTTTTTTTGGTAGGAAAAGATTTAGGACTCTATAAATAGAGACATGTTCCTTCTAACTTAATTAGCATTCACAATGTAGTTTTAAGGGCTTTGAGAGTTTTGGTTAGAGGGAGAATTTGTTAACCTCTCATGTATTCCGAGTGAATTGATGAGGTTGTTTCCCTCTGTATTTTGTACTCTCATGTTTATAGTGGATTGCTCATCTCCTTTGTGGACGTAGGTCGATTGACCGAACCACGTTAAATCTTTGTGTCTTTTGGTATATTTCTCGTTGTCTTCTTACTCGTGGTCTTTCGAGATTTGCTTTGCTAGCTTCCGCGTTTACACCTGCTTATTTTCCGGTCCTAACAAGTGGTATCAGAGCCAGATTCAATGATGGAGTCAGGTGTAGTGGTTCGATAATCAATGATTGAACCAAGTTAGAAAGAGGTGTTCATCTTGACGGGTGTAGTTCTAGCCGCAACCTTTTTTACAGTAATGAAGATTTTGTTGGAGAAATTGTTTCAGAGAGGTTCTCTGTGTTGAGACATAAATTTTGTAAAGGAGATTATGGAGAGGAGAAGCAAGTTGTTGAACCGTGCGCACACCTATCAATATTCTTTTGGTGATACTATCACAAGTATTGATAGAATTAGAATTAGTATAAGGTTGACGATATAAACATGTTTATACAATAAATTTTAGGCAATAACTATCACAAATATTGATAGGACGACAATTAGCAAAAGGTTGATAATTATCTTACACGCACACTTTTAGTACTCAAACTCTAGTTAGGCCTTAGCTTCGAATCTATCTACCAAATTAATTATTTCAACATTGTAATTTCTCCAAATGCAAGAAAAGGAGACTTGATATCTTCAAATAATTTTGATTTCAATGCTACCAAAAGCCACATAAGGACAAAGAGATAGTAGATGATTATTGTTGGGTTTTATTTGTCCTGATTTCTTACCATAAATAGGTTTTTCTTTTAGGAAAATGTTTTGAATTGACTATTCTTTTTTTGGTAGGAAAAGATTTAGGACTCTATAAATAGAGACATGTTCCTTCTAACTTAATTAGCATTCACAATGTAGTTTTAAGGGCTTTGAGAGTTTTGGTTAGAGGGAGAATTTGTTAACCTCTCATGTATTCCGAGTGAATTGATGAGGTTGTTTCCCTCTGTATTTTGTACTCTCATGTTTATAGTGGATTGCTCATCTCCTTTGTGGACGTAGGTCGATTGACCGAACCACGTTAAATCTTTGTGTCTTTTGGTATATTTCTCGTTGTCTTCTTACTCGTGGTCTTTCGAGATTTGCTTTGCTAGCTTCCGCGTTTACACCTGCTTATTTTCCGGTCCTAACAAGATTAAGTAAAGAAGGTGAACAAATTTATTTTGTCAGAAATTCAGGCAGGGGGAGATTTTTGGGTTTTATTTGTCCTGATTTCTTACCATAAATAGGTTTTCCTTTTAGGAAAAGGTTTTGAATTGACTATTCTTTTTTTGGTAGGAAAAGATTTAGGACTCTATAAATAGAGGCATGTTCCTTCTAACTTAATTAGCATTCACAATGTAGTTTTAAGGGCTTTGAGAGTTTTGGTTAGAGGGAGAATTTGTGAACCTCTCATGTATTCCGAGTGAATTGATGAGGTTGTTTCCCTCTGTATTTTGTACTCTCATGTTTATAGTGGATTGCTCATCTCCTTTGTCGACGTAGGTCGATTGACCGAACCACGTTAAATCTTTGTGTCTTTTGGTATATTTCTCGTTGTCTTCTTACTCGTGGTTTTTCGAGGTTTGCTTTGCTAGCTTCCGCGTTTACACCTGCTTATTTTCCGGTCCTAACAATTATATACAGAGGGTGTTTTTTTCTTTACTCTTAGATATAATGAGTTAAAAGGATTATCAAAAGAGGAAAGTGAAGTACAGAAATATAAAAAAAACTCTTGTTATGCTGAATGTGGAGAATTTGTGAAGCCAAAGGTCATATGGGATGTAGTAATACTGCACTGAGAGGAGGAAAGGTATATCATGACTTAATTTATTGGACTCCAGCTCAGTTTTTGAACCTTTCTTCTAAAATCTCTCGCAAGGGCCTGCAAAAACTTAGCATTAGCATTACAGTATTTTTTTCAAAAAAAAAGTTGGACTGATTTGATCAGGTATATATAAATATTTTGCCCCAGAATGGTTCTCCTAAGTCTGAATAATGATATGTCGTTTTGTCTCTAATTTCAATTAATCCGTAACTTATAATTTGTTTAGCAATTTCTACTTCATAATTTACATGGCTAATAATATAGCTCGACTCATGTGAGTCGGGAAATGGTTTAGTGATCTTCGTGGGAATTAACCCTAATTATGAAAATTTAATGGTTCTCAAAATATTCCTACTGTCATTTTAACCCTAATTACAGTTCACCCAAAATCAAACTTGATCAACTCATACTATCAAACTAAATCTAAAAGCAAATGAAAGTTAAAACCATAAGATATTCAAGGAGAAAACATATGAAGATGAAGAGTTAAGAAATCAAATCCAAAAATTGAAGAGGGAGACGACGAATTACCTTCAAGTGAGGAGACCGACGTCGAGAGTTGTGGAGGTCAAAAGCTTCAGCTTTCTTTTCTTCAATGGAGAGGGATGTGCTGAAGTTGCCTAGAAGCACGCACGAATTCCATGTGCAGTAAAACAGTGGGTACATAAACACGTGGTTAAGATAAAGTAGGGCTACAAACTAAAATAACCATAATGCCCAAACCACCAATATTTTAATCAGAAGCAAGAGACACAAAAATAAAAAACACCTTGTAAATAAATATCACATTAGACAACACTCAACTGTATTGCAATTTCTAAAACAATAGCGGATTTGGAGGGATTGAATAACAAATTTGTAGAGATGGAATAACTGATCTTTAGTGATAGGAATGACAGATCCTTAGGGATGTGTAATTTTTATTCTCTCTATATAATGGAAAAACTCTAACTTTGAGATACATACATCAGAAAATTTACATAGTATTAGAGTTTATCTTGGATACTTGTTTGATAGAATCATATGTTGTTCCTTCTAATTTTTTCTTGAACATCTTGGTTTTCTGTTGACTGTTTGTCAACAGTCAGTCCCACCACGTAGGACTTTTGCTCTTGGTCATTTTAATTGCTTTCGTGAGTCTTGTGGTTTTCATAGATCCTCAAAAGCATGAATTCACATCACTTAGAATCCTTCAGTGTTCATTTCGTTGGAAAAATATATTATTCTTGGTTGTTTCAATTTAAGTTATCTGTCACCGGTAAAGAACTATGGGGTCATATAGATGGAAGTGATCGTTCTCTTACTGATACAACAAAACTATGTTAATGGAAGTTTAAAGATTCTTGGGTGATGACATGGATTCTAGGGTCAATTGACCCTCTTATTGTTCTTAATCTCAGGTCGTACAACACAACTAAGGACATGTGGAATTACTTACAAAAGGTTTACAATCAAGATAATAGCGCAAGTCACTTTTAGTTAGAGTATGAAATTGCTAATTACTCTCAAGAAGGTATTTTTGTTTAGGATTATTTATCTGGAGTTCAAAACTTATGGGCTGAATTTACGGATATTAACTATGCCAAAATACCTACTGAATCTCTATATGTGGTTCCGGGAGTTCATGTGTAAAGCAAGCGAGAACAATTTTTGATGAAATTATATTCTGACTTTGAGAGTGTTCGCTCTAGCTTGATGAATCGTGACCCGTATCCCTCTTTGGTTGTTTACATAAGGGAATTACTTCGTCAAGAGAAATGTCTTGTCACACAAAATGTTTCAACAAGGAAAATGACATCACTATTGCATTTGCTGCTCAAGGTAAAGGAAAGGGCAGAGATATGACTAGAACTCAATGGTAAGTTGCAAGAAATATGGGAATATTGCTAGCATTTGTAGAAAGAAGTTCTGTAGTTATTGTAAACAACAAGGACACATTATCAAAGAGTATCCCACACGCCCTCAAATTGTTGGGTCAACGCTTTTCAAGCTGGGATAAATGGTTCCACTATTGATAACTCAGCTTCTGAAAAAGTTCTTACTCCTAAATTGGTACAACAAATGATCGTGTCAACCATTTCAGCATTGGGATTACAAGGTAATGATGTTACATCTAATTATTGGATTGTCGATTTCGGTGTTTCTAGTGATATGAAAAAATCAATGAGCATCCTAAAAAATGTTTGTAAGAATCAAGGTCCATCACTGTCACGTCCCGAGCTATCCCGGAGACGCGGACACAGAACTTAGGACCACAAGTGATCCCAAGCTAACCCTGCTGGCATGATCATGAGCATACTAAAGATAATAAACTGTTGCGGAATCTAAATCATAAATAAATTTGAAAAATTGGGGAATACCCATATTCTATATCTGAGATATTTGAAAATAATGAGTTTAATACGAAGAAAATATTAACTCAATAATAAGATGAATCTAACTATGTCTGAAATCAGCCGCTAAAGTAAACTAGAAATACTGTGACAAGCCCCTAGCTAAATCTAGCAAAAAGTGAGACTAAATGACTAAAGACTGAAATGACACTCATGACTGTTGTCCTCGGAGAATGAGGACTCACCACTGAATCTTCTGAACTGGACATCGGGAAATTAGTCTATGCGTGATCTGCATGCTACAAACCTGAACCTACATCACAAGAATATGTAGCGCACTTATGCGTTAGTACTTAAAAGGTACTGATCTTGTAGGATAGAGTAAAGCTGAAATAAAATATAATTGAACAAGCACAAAAGCAAGTATAATAATATGAAGATCTATTGAATTTCTGAGCTAACTGAATGCAATGACCAATTTATAACATGATGAAACTGAATACTGGATATACTGATAAATGGTCAATGTAGAGAGTCTGACTGAACTGTGGAAGATACTAATAACCGATAATAAAACCACATGATCTAAATTTGAATTTCGATGTATACGCCCCATCGAGAGGACCCAATATACCCTGCCAACGATATAAAGGCATGCTGGCGTCATTGCTAAGCTGATTGCCCAAAGAGGGACTTACAACCTACTTCACTAGTAATTCTAGGACTATTGTGTACGCTAAACCCTAGTCTAACTCGGTATTATGCTACTCTAAATGAATTCTGTAAATTTACTGATTATGTTTGTGTTTTTGTAAATACTGGATAGCTCAAAACTGAACATGCAAACTGTGAATGCAACAATAAATCTGGTAATTATGCATTTATAATTGAGGCATGTATATCTGAAGTGTCTGAAATATCTGACCTAGCATGTGTAATTCAAGAACTAGAGAAATACAAAGTTAGGGTTCTGAAATTTATGTGATAATCTGAGTAATAACATGATAATCTGATTTGGAACATATATTTAATAAATTAATGAAGTTCTATCAAAGTTCTTGAAACCCTAGGTCTAAGCATGATATGGTTATCAAGAATCTGACTGATAATTAAGGATCCAATGGGTAAAAGGAACCTACAAGTGAAATCCCACATACCTAGTGATGAAATCCACGAAAAAATACTTAGGTTTCAAGCCTAGAACTGCTGGAACTTGTTGCGTTCTTGAACTAGGGTTCTTGAGATTTTTCTCTTTTTGTGATTCTAATTTTCTAAGTTTTGATTTAATTATTTGACTTAGATATGTCTTAATTATGTTTCTAGGCTTAAACTGACGAAAATATGATGATTTAGGGTCAAAACAATGTAACTTAGGGTTTAAACGAAGTAGAAAAGGTTCAAAAGACCCCTTTGAAAGTTGCAATTGGACAAATCGACGGCCAGGACTGTTGGTCCGTCGTCTGACCGACGCCCCATCGTTGGGTCCGTTGACTGGTCCTGTTCGACAGGACATTACTAAAATGAGCATAAATTTTTACTCGGAGGTCTGATTTTAGCAAGGTTTGTGGATATGAAAATATAATTCAACTACCAATCTGTGAGTAGGTCATGGGACACCTAATTCATTTTGTGATAAGAATTATGATCATTTGAACTTTACCTAACTGCATTTTCCCTTAACTTTCTGCTAATTTCCCACCTACGATCGGTCCACCTACGGACCGTGCTGGTCATCCGTAGTTCTTGGCAGAGAGTGGGTGAAGGGAGTCTTGATCGACGGTCATGTACTACGGACTGTAGTCTTACCCACAGACCTTAAGTCCGTCTGTCGACTAACCCTTAATAAATTTTTTTCTGGGTTGAGATTTTTGGGAGTTTCTATTCCATCGACGGGTGTGCAGAATAAACCGTGGGTCAGGCTACGGTCCATCGATGGTCACGTCGGTTGCACTTGCAGATTTTTCTGAAAAACTAATTTTTTGTCTGTTTTTTCTATGGGGTGTTACATTATCTCCCCCTTGGGAACATTTATCCTCGAATGAATACTAAATAGCTGAAATAGAGGGAGAGAGGCGCAAACCCTACTACAAAACACTGAGAACTGAGTTTCTGACTGAATTGAATTTCGATAACATGCAAATATGCTGAAAATTCAAGTACAAACTGAGGGAACATGATTCTAAGACTGAATTCACGCAAGAATGACTGGAAAATTGAAGAGAAACTATTACCTCAAGCTGGGATGGAATCGAAAGGAAAGAGGTGAGGATACTTGGCTTTCTCGGCTGCTTCTGCTTCCCAAGTAGCTCCCTCCACAAAACCTTTACTGAAGAGAATTCTTTGTTCCTCAACTTTCTAACCTGACGGTCAAGAATCTCAACTGGTACATTCTCATAAGAAAGATTATCTTTCATCGGCACACTCTCTAATGGAACTATAGAGGTTGAGTCACCTACACACTTCTTCAAGGGTGAGATGTGGAAGACGGATGCGCTGCTGCTAACTCTGCTGGCAACTCTAAATCATATGCCACCTTGCCAACCCTTTTCAATATCTTGTAAGGGCCTTCATATCTAGGACTAAGCTTCTCTTTCTTTCCAAATCTCATCAACCAAATTGAGTCATATTGTTTAAGAGTATGCTGTAATCTTCTGATGAAGTACATATTGATCACATCCCCCTTCCAAGTAGGAATATCGATCTCTTGAGTCATACCCCTGGTTTCTGATGTTCTACCTTGACTTTCTGGCAATTGGGGCACTTACTCACAAAGTCTGCTATATCTCTCTTCATGTCATTCCACCAATAAACTTCCCGCAGATCGCGGTACATCTTAGTGGCACCTGGATGAATAGAATACCTAGAGTTATGGGCTTCTGCAAGAATATGTTGTCTCAACTCGCCCACATCAGGAACGCACAATCTACCCTAGTAGCGAAGTAAACCATCTCCCCTTGAAAGGAAACCTCCACTCTCTGATTGTGGACTGCACCCTTGAGTTCAAACAAATTTGGATCACTGTCTTGCTTCTCCTTAACCTCCACCACCAAAGAAGATTCTTCCCCATTTTGAATTGTTACACCACTGTTTGATATGGTCATAAGGAAAACTCCCAAGCGAGCAAACCTGTGAACATCCTTCACTAACTCCTTCCTTTCTTCCTCAACATGGGCTACACTACCCATAGATAATCTACTAACAGCATCGGCTACTACATTCACCTTACCAGGATGATAATGCACACTCATATCATAACCCTTAAGGAACTCAAGCCATACCCTCTGGCGAAGATTCAACTATTTCTGAGTGAACACATACGGTAGGCTCTTATGGCTAGTGAACACCATACAAGTAGTGTCTCCAGGTCATGAGTTGGATAGTTATTCTCATGAAACTTGAGTTGTCTAGAGGCATAAGCTATCACCTTACCTCGCTGCATCAATAAGAAACCTAGGCCAACTCTGGATGCATCAAAGTAAATCACATAACCATCTGGACCTTCTCGTAGAGTAAAGACAGGAGTTGTAGTCAATCTTGTTTTCAAATCTGCAAAACTTTTCTCAAAATCATCTTACCGTTGAAACTTGAATATCTTTTGAGTCAACCTAGTCAATAGTGAGGCTATGGAGGAGAATCCTTCCACGAACCTTCTGTAATAACCTGCTTGACCTAAGAAACTTCTGATATCTTCAGCAGAGGTAGGTCTGGGCCATTGTTTCACTGCTTCTATCTTTTGTGAATCCACCGGATCCCTACACTAGATACAATGTGACACATGAAAGCAACGGATCGCAACCATAACTGACACTTGTTGAACTTAGCAAATAACTGGCGATCCTTGAGAGTCTTTAAAACAATTCTCAAATGACTTGTATGTTCTTCCTCATTTCTAGAGTAAATGAGGATATCATCAATGAAGACGATAAAAAAAAGTCCAAGTACTGTTTGAACATGCTGTTCATCAAATCCATGAAAGCTGTAGGAGCATTAGTTAGTCAAAACGACGTAACTACAAATTCATAATGACCATACCGAGTTCTGAAGGCTATTTTTTGAATGACACTATTTCTGACTCTAAGCTAGTGATAAAGCGATCTGAGGTCTATCTTTGAGAAATGGATAGCACTCCGAAGTTGGTCAAACAAGTCATTAATCTTGGGGATGGGATACTTATTCTTGATTATGACCCTGTTCAACTGTCTATAGTCAATGCATATTCTAAGAGAACCATCTTTCTTCCTTATGAACAACACTGTTGCACCCCATGGTGAAATACTAGGTCTGATGAAACCCTTATCTAGAAGGTCTTTCAACCGCCTTTTCAATTCCTTAATCTCTGCTAGAGACATTTAGGTATCTGTAAGGAGATCAATTCCATAGTCGATTTCCCTTTCGGGAGGGACTCTAGGAAGATCTTTTGGAAATACTTCTGGAAATTCACAGACTACTGGAGCTGACTCAAGAGTTGGGGTTTCAAGGCTAGAATCTTTAACCCGAACTAGATGATAGAGATAACCCTTAGATATCTAGCCTTAAGGTAAGAAATAAATAGAACAATATAAGCTAAGCTACTACCTTTCCATTCTAAGATTGGTTCATCTGGAAACTGAAAATGAACAATCCTAGTTCTACAATCGACTAAGGCTAACATGAGTGTAACAAATCCATGCCTATAATGACATCTAAGTCTACCATTTCCAACTCTACTAGATCTGCTGAGGTGACTTTCTGAGAGACAGTGATAGGGCAATTTTTGTGTATTCGTCTATCTAAAACTGGGTCACCGACTGGAGTAGAGACTAAGAAATGTTCTGAGAGAGTTTGGAATAATACTAAAGTTTAGTTCTATATGGATTTGCAAAAGACAAAGTAGTTTCTGTTGTCTTTACACTAAGTGAACCATATGTGAGTCAAATCCTTAAGCTGGTTGGATGCCAATTTTACCCTATCACTACCACTCACTTGCATAACTCCAAATATTTTATTTACCTCATCAATAAACTTCTGTGGATCCTCACACAACATGGGACCCTCAAAATTAGGTGAATCTTTCTAAACAAATGTCGAATACTAGCTGCCACTGATCCACCATTGTTATTTGTTGGAACTTGAACCTTTTGATTGTTTTGGTTTTTCATACTCTGAGATAAAAGCTGAATTGTCCTTCTGAAACTCTACTTTAGAACTTCCTTATCTCATACTAAAGGAACTGCATTAGCATTGTGTGCATTCGCATTCCATGGCTAAGCTCTAAGAGAAAGCATGATCTTAAGCGTAGAATGTCAAACTAGAGTGGAATAAGATCATACCTTACGCACGATGTGGTGTACTTCACTTCCATGAAAAGGACTCTACTTAATGTGGATTTTCTGACATCCTAAGACTCTTGAACCTAATGCTCCGATACCAAGTTTTATCATGCCCCGAGCTATCCCCGAGAAGCGGAAACGAAACCTAGGATCACAAGTGATCCCAAGCTAACTTTGCTAGCATGATCATGAGCATACTAAAGAAAATAAACTGTTGCGGAAGCTAAATCATAATTAAATATAAAAAAATGGGAAATACCTATATTCTATAACTGAGATATTTGAAAATAATGAGTTTAATACACAAGAAATATTAACTCTATACTAAGCTGAATCTAACTATGTTTGCAATAAGACTCTAAACTGAACTAGAATACTAGGACAAGCCCCCAACTAAATCTAGCAAAAACTAAAACTAAATGACTAAAGAATGAAATGACACTCATGAATGTTTTCCACAGAGAATGAGGACTCACCACTGAATCTGCTAAACTGGACATGGGGAAATTATTTTATGTGTGATCTACATGCTGAGAACCTTAACCTGCACGAGAAGATGTAGCGCACGTATGCGTCAGTACTTCACAGGGATTGAACATGTAGGATAGAGTAAAGTTGAAAGAGAACATAACTGAACAAGCACAAAAGCAAGTATAATAATCTGAACATGATATACCAAATTTCAGAGCTAACTGAATGCAACGGACAATTTATAACATTCTGAAACTAATACTGGATATATGATAAATGGTCAATGCAGAGAGTCTGACTAAATTGTGGAAGGTACTAATAACCGATAATAAAACCACATGAGGTAAATGTGGAGTCTGACGTATACGCCCCATTGAGAGGACCCAATATACCATGCAAGAGGTATAAAGGCATGTTGGCGTGATCATAAACTTATTGCCCACATAGGGGACTCACAACCTACTTAACTAGTAGTTCTGGGACTATTGGGTACGTTAAACCCTAGTCCAACTCGGTATTATGCCTCTCCCAATAAATTTTGTAAATTTACTAATTACGTTTGGTTTCTATAAATACTAGATAGCTCAAAACTGAACATGCAAACTGAGAAGACAACAGTTAATCTAGTAATTATGCATTTATAACTGAGGCATGTATATTTGAAGTGTCTAAAATATCTGACCTAGCATGTGTAATTCAAGAACTAGAGAAATACAAAGCTAGGGTTCTAAAATTGATGCGATAATCTGATTAATAGAATGATAATCTGATTTGGAACATATATTAAATAAATTCATGAAGTTCTATCTAAGTTCGAGAGACCCTAGGTCTAAGCATAATATGAGAATCAAGAATCTGACTGAAAACTAGGGACCCGTTGGGTGAAAGAAACCCACTAGTGAAATCAAATATATCTGTTGATGAAATTTATGGAAAAATACTTAGGTTTTGGGTTTGGAACTGCTGGAACTTGTTGTGTTCTTGAACAAGGGTTCTTGAGCTTTTCTCCTTTCTTGCTTCTAATTTTCTAATCTTTGATTTAATGATTTGACTTTGATATATTTAAATTATGTTTTTAGGCTTAAACTTACTAAAATATGATGATTTAGGGTAAAAAATGAAGTAACTTAGGTTTTAAACAAAGTGGGAAAGGTCCAAAAGACCCTTGGGAAAGTTGTTGTCCGACCAATCGACGACCAGGACTGACGGTCCGTCGTCTGACTGACGCCCCATCGTTGGGTCCGTCGACTGTGCCTGTTCGACAGGACTTTACTAAAATGGGAATAACTTTTTTATTCAAAGGTCTAATTTTCGCAAGGTTGGTGGATATGGAAAGATAATTCAATTATCTATCTGTGGATAGATCATGGGACACCTAATTCATTTTGTGCTAAGAGTTATGACTATTTGAAGTTGACCCAACTACATTTTCTCTTAAATTGTTGCTAATTTCCCACCTACGGTCATACCTACAGACCTTAGGTCCACCTACGGACTGTGCTGGTCATCCATAGCTCTTGTCAAAGAGAGGGTGAAGGGAGTCTTGATCGAATGTCATGGACTACGGACCGTAGTCTAACCTACGCACCGTAAGTCCGTCCATTGACCAACACTTAACAAATTTTTTTCTGGGCTGAGATATTTGGGAGTTTCTGATCCCATCGATGGTTGTGTAGGACGGACCGTGGGTTAGGCTACGGTTCATCGATGGTCACGTCGATTGCACCTGCAAATTTTTCAGAAAAACTAATTTTTGGTCTGTTTTGGCTACGGGGTGTTACAATCACATATACATATTGACAATGGTTTAAATTTACCCATTACAAAGGTTGGGGATATTAACAATTGGTAGATAAAAATTTTGATGTGAATTTTCTTGTAATGATTATTTTGTGTAAGATCAGGTGTCGAGGACGATAATTGCGAAGAGACCTAAAGTTGGACAATTGTTTCCTATACACTTTTCCATTGCTCATGTTCTATCTTTTGCTTGTACTTCTACTTCTAGTAAGACTGAGGTTTGTCATAAGCGCTTAGAACATCCAAATTCTGTTGTGTTGTCTCATTTATCAAATTTTGGTTCATTTGAGAAATAAAAATCAATTTTCAATTGCTTCCATTGTTTTTTCTACTTGTAAATTAGGCAAAAGTAAAGCTCTTCCTTTTTCTAATTTTGGTAGTTGTGCTACCAAGTGTTTTGATGTCATTCACAGTGATGATTGGGGCATTTCACTAATTATTTCACATGATCATTTCAAATACTGTATGACATTTATAGATGATTGTAGTCGGTTTACGTGGGTGTATTTTCTTCGATATAATTTGAGGTATTTCCCATGTTCAAGACATTTTGCCTTACATTGAGACTCAATTTTCTACGTGCATCAAATTATTAAGATATGATTTTGGAGGAGAATATATGTCTTATGAATTCAAAAAATTCTTATTTGACAAAGGAATCATCCAACAACGCTATTTCCCATATACAACACAACAAAATGGAGTTGCTGAACGTAAAATCGCCATCATTTTGATGTCGCTTGTACTTTGTTGATTGAGTCCTTTGTACCATCTAAATATTGGGTGGAAGCTTTATCTACTACTTTCTATTTAATTAATAGATTACCATCTAAAGTTCTAAATCTTGAGTCTCCATATTTTCGTCATTATCACCAAAATCGTTACTATAGTGAGTTTCAGAAATTTGGTTGTGTTTGTTTGGTGCATTTTCTTCCTTCACAACACAAGAAACATTCTTTACAATCTACTAAATGTGATTTTATGGCTCATAGTACTTCACAAAAAGATTTTATTTTCTATGATCCATGTTCTAAAATCCTTCGTATTTCCAAACATGTAGTTTTCTTTGGGAATTAGTATTTCTTTCCTATGATTTTAGATTCATCTTCCGCTTCTCCTATTCTTTCTACTTTTGAGTATTTATCATCTTCTTTTAAGAGGTTCAAACCTGTAATTGTCTATGAATGAAGTCGGCCAAATTTATCCTATCCCGACACTAATGCGCCGCCTCAAACTGTACCACAACAAGAATTTGAGAATTCTTCAAGAGTTGTTCCACTTGAGCCTACTCGACACTTTACAATAGTATCATGTACTCCTAATTGGTATGAATTTTTATATACTTTATCTAACATTTATGTTCGAACTTGTTACTCCCAAGCTTCCAAGCATGACTGTTGGCAGAAAGTTATAGAGGAAGAACTTTTGGATCTTAAAGAAAATGACACATGGGACATTGTTTCATGTCCTTCAAATGTCCTCCCTATAAAAATGTAACTGGGTTTATTCAATCAATGTTCATTATGATGGAACTCTTGATCGATACAAATCTCGATCAGTTGTTCTTGGTACCTTACATGAGTATGGGAAGGACTATGAGGAGACTTTTGCACCCGTTGCAAAAATGACTACGGTGTGAACTATTATTGCGATTGCTGCCTCATAAAACTGATCTCTATATCAAACGGATGTCAAAAATGCTTTTATCCATGGTGATCTCAAAGAAGATATTTATATGAAACCTTCATTTGGTTTGTTCTCATCGCCTACATCAGATGTATGGAAGTTGAAGCGATCTTTGTATGAATTAAAACAAGCTCCAAGAGCTTGGTTTGATAAGTTTTGATCTACTTTGCTACAATTTTCTTTTAATCATAGCAAATATGACTCATCTTTGTTTCTTCAGAGAACATCGACTGGTTGTGTTCTTCTTTTGGTGTGTGTAGATGACATTATTATCACAGGAATCGATTCTTCACAAATCACTAGCCTTCAACAACAGCTTAAATATACTTTTCATATGAAAGATGTTGGTAAACTTACTTATTTTTTGGGTTTGGAAGTTCATAATGTTGCTTTAGGTGTGTTTCTAACCCAACACAAGTACGTTCAAGATCTGATTTCTTTGGATGATCTTCAAGATTACTCCTCTGTAGACACTCCAATGGAATTGAATATGAAGTATCGTTGTGAGGAAGGAGATATTCTTCTTGATCCAACTATGTTTCGACAATTAGTTAGGAGTATAAATTACCTTACTATTACTCTTATCTCTTTTGCAGTTCGACAAGTTAGTCAGTTTATGCAAGCTCCACGTCATCTCCACTTGGTGGTTGTTCATCGCATCATTAGGTATCTTCTACGAACATCTACTTGTGGATTGTTCTTTCCAAGTGGTTCTACTATTTGTCTTTATATTTTTAGTGATTCTGATTGGGCGAGATGTCCTGATACTCGTCCTTCCGTCACTGGTTGGTGTATATTTCTTGGAGGGTCATTGATATCTTTGAAGAGTAAAAAGCAAGATCGTGTGTCAAATTCTTCAACAGAGAATGAATATCGATCCATGTCTACTGCTTGCTCTAAGGTTGTATGGATTTGAGGATTACCTGATAAGATTGGATTTCCACAATCTCATCCCACGCCTCTCCATGCTGATAATGCAAGTGCTATTCAGAAGGCTACTAATCCAGTTTTCATGTGAGGACCAAACATATTGAAGTAGATTGTCAGTATATATGAGAATCTCTAGAAAAAGGAGTCAATACCGTTCTACATGTGTCCAGTGATCTGCAAATAACTGATGCGTTTATAAAATCTATGGCACGACAATGCCATCAGTTTCTAGTAGCCAAATAGAGGCTTCTTGATCCACCGTCATCAATATGATGGGGGATGTAAGCATGATGAAAATCTAAATAATTGAATACATTAATGTAATTAGATAGTTATATAAATTAACATGATCATATAAATTTGTTGCAGAATCAAAGGAATAAATATTGTGATAGAATAGAGGATTTGGAGGAATTGAATAGCAGATTTGTAGAGATAGAATAGTTGATATTTGGATATAGGAATGACGGATCTTTGGGATGTGTAATCTTTTTATATCTATAATGGAAATACTCTCACTTTTAGAGACAAATTGACACTAACGATACATGTGGAAACCTAGGAAGGAGAAAATTTAATTAAAAGTTATCATAAAAGTAACTCACAAAACAATGCCCAAAACATGGAATATTTGGTTAAGATTATTTTAAAATTAGTAACATTTATTGTGTGAAAGTGAAATTCAACCAATATATAATAACAACAGTCGCCAAAGAAACAATTGATGTAGTACAAAAACGGAAATTGCAAAAGCATAATCACCACATATAGCAAGAAACATACAAAAAAATAATGGTTGGAAATTAAAAAAATGAAACATTCTGCAATATAGTTAAAACAATTTTTATCTAAAAGCATCACCAAATTATTTTTCTTGGATCTGATTACCTCTGCATAATAATGGTCTACATTTTCTTCTTCTATGAGTAGCTAGTAAGTAATTTGGTCTAAGAATTATCGTCTCTTCATTCAACATTATCGGGAAGACCAATTGCCCCATCTCGTTCTCAACCATTAGTACCAAGTGCCTGAAAGCCGGTGAACACTCCTTCACCCAGGGCGGACCCATATGGTGTCCGTCGAGTGCTCGAGCACCCATTAACTTCGTTATGAAATATATATATCTATGTAGAAATCGATAGATATTTGTATAAAATTAACATAGAGCATCCAATGAATAAATCATATAGTTGGCCTAATGGTTCTAGGATGGGTACTTAAGACTCTTTTAGTGTTGTTGTACCAAGGTTTGAATCTCATTGTTAACACATATTTTTTTACAGTTTCACTTCAGAGTGTTATTCTTACAATAACTTGTATTTATAAAGTTAATAAACAGAAAAAGAAACAGAAATAAGATGAAGCAGAATATAGAATACAAGAATTAATCTGAGTCCACAGAAACTACTGTGTGTCCTTAAGAAATTTAATCCCCTCACTGTACCCAAGGTTATGGATTAATTTCTCCCAAGATAAAACGGATTAAACCTGTTAAAGAAATAGCGGTACCTCAAACTTCTTTAACTTCAACGAACTTAAGAAAAGCAACAAGTAACACAGTCTCAGTCGATCGACACTTTGATTTTATTTGAGAGAAAAATAAATGCAGAGAAAGAAAAATTTTCAGTGATTAAAAAAACAAAAATTGACTTCCTTTTATAGTCATTTTCAGCAAGGAACATGCCTGTTCAGTGAAATCTGTTCAGACCCATTTTATCCAGAAAGTTTTGTCTTTTGGAAAAAATAATAATTTTTTGAAAAATTGTGTCTGTTAGGAAAATAACTACTTTTTGGAAAGTAACGACTTTTCGAAAAGTAACGACTTTTCAGAAAGAGTAACAACTTTTCGAAAGTTACCGTTACTTGCAAATTTATAAGAAATGACTTTTCATTTGCACTTTGCAAATGACTTTTCATTTTCCCTCCAAAGTAGTTCCCTCACTTTTCATATTCTCTCTTTTCTTTTCCCATTCACACTTGCTAAAACCCAACAATCCCCCACATGAATGGGGAAGACTATTGTTAAAACATATGCATGAAAAAACTTGTGTGTCTTGTTGGTAAAGGTTAATCGCATCTGGATAAGTAGGTTTCTCTATAAACTTTCCGTAGTGAACATATATCGGATACACTCGGTCAATCGGTAGAT